CAGATGATGGATGAAAAAACGAAAAGATGGCGTCAATTCCATGGCGCGTTGAAGCAACCCCGTTGAGGCATGTCGATCGCGTGAGCATCTTCACTCAGAGGGTAAGTAAGTGGCTAAACCCCTTCCTCTCTTGCTCTTTTAACGAGGGTTCTCGTTGCGGTAGCTCCCAGTGCGAATGGCATGTCAACTCCCAGTCAACGAGGGGGATCGCGATGGTCCATAATACGATGTCAAATGGTGATTAATTTTTCGCCCGCCAAGAAGTGAAACAAGAAAAAGCACCGTCGCACGGGTCGCACGTGCGTCTGCACTTTCATAGGAATGGTCGTTTTCGCGGCAGCAGCAGGAATGAGTGTGGTACCCTCTCCTGATGCTATCGACAACGCTCGCTCTAGTCAGGGGTTTTGTCGTAAGTCATCTCCACCATCGGAGGGTGGTCATTTCTGTTGTTTGTGGTTATTTTTTTTGTGTCCTCCTGCCAACACAGTCCGAAAGTGTCCAGTGCAAGGAAAATGATGTTTCCGCGGCAAGTCCGAGGTGAAAAGAAGGAATCCATATACTGCACATTCCACACATCACCACGCATTCGTCTGCAGTCGGCCAGAAAGATGTCGTTCACGACACCCCGCTGACGACGCCCGCTCTCTATGGAGGCCGAGTCTTGCTACCGAATCGAAAGAGTTCAGGGTATAGTTTGTGTCTGGTCCTGCGGCACCGTCGTCGAATCACAACCAACGACGGGAAGGCCCGAAAAAAATACAAGTAGCTCAAGCCATGCCCGCCCATCATCTGCCACGGGGTATCCAACACAAAACATCCCGGCATATTACTGCTTCTGGTCTTGTTCTACATAGCGATTTCGAAGATCTTGGTTTCGCATCGATACGCTGCGAACGCACCTAAAACGTTGTACCTTGTAGCATATATATGTGTGCTACTTACTTGCGAAGCTCCGGTCGGTTGAAATACTGTATTTCATGTAGCGTAGGAGGTGGCCGCACAATAAGCTGCCTCTCTTCGACGAGGATAATTGCCTCGTTGGTTGCTTTTTCTCTCTCCTGTCTCTCCGTCGCTCTCCCCCTCTCTCTGAATTTAAGAGGAGATGTCAGCTCCATGCCAAAAGGCGTTTGCTTGCATGGGTAACGCGGTCTGTAGGTTGCGAGACATACATACATACATGTAACAACGACAAGCAAGTGTTCACTTACGTGGCTTATTTTAAGGCCGGGGAACAATCCATGTACAACAGCTGCCGGCAGTTTTGATATGGTTATCGTTCTCGTTAAAGAATGAATCTGGAAGTTGCGCACAGCGGTGAGTGCCTGCTACAACACGCTTTCCATTCAAGGAATCGTGCCTCTTAACTATGTCTCAACGATTTAACACAAGCTTAACTACTGCTTTCGCAAGAAAATATTGGCCCTAATCAGCACATGCCTTCTCTCTCCAGCCAACAATCAAGAGGTGTAGACTACTTCCAGACCCTTCTTCTTCTGTGTGTGATTTTCATCGCTTGCCAAAATTGGAGCTGGCCGTGCAGATACCGCTACGTTGTGGGTGGATGGGTGGTGGCTGGAGATCTGATGAACTACGGCATAATCCTGACCGAACCACTAAATACATCTGACGTGTGTGGTGGAGAAGACGGGCGCACCCATCACCATTTTCAGCGAGGGCATAAGCTTCCCTCTTCTTTTCTTTCTGCTGTGGTGAAACAGCATATATCGGTGAAACACATACTGTAGACTAGTCTACACAGTAGGTGTTGTCTGGTGTGTTGGGTGGGGCTTTGACCTTGAATGTTTGTTTTTTCATGACTGAGTCATGATCCCATTATTAGGCCGTGACTCGACTATGACCCGGGCAAGTCACCGAGATGGAGACATGACCTCGATCATGATCTCGATCATGACCGAAGCCGTGTCTCGGCCATGCTTCGGTCAGAGCTCGGTCATGACTCGGCCATGATCGATTCATGGCCGAGTCATGGCCAATCAATGCAATTCCGGTGCTCCTGTTTTGGCAGGGGAATGAAACCGACCTGAAACCCTGACGCGGACCCAAACTAACCCGAACCCAAACCCACACGGCAGGTGCTAGGTTGACGCTTGGTGTATAAATTCTATTGTAGGTTGATGTGCCGGTGATGGCGCTAGATTGGTGTTGATGTGATATCCTTGTAGGTGGGGGGGGGGGGGTACTGTCGTGCATGCCGTAGTCGTTAGACCATTGACCTCGCATCCCTACCAAGCCCGGACGGAGCACGCCGGGTCCTCACCGGACCAGGCTCTCACATCACCAAGCGCGAAGCGTCGTTGGGTATTCGGCGAGTCGCATGAAGGGTGAGCTGCATCCTGCTATGAGTGTTCGGCATCTTGCGCTTACTTCCTTGCGTACGGATGACAGCTGCGCATGACTTAATTTATTTTGTGGTCCTTTCACGTCCAGAGGCAGTTGTAAGCACTGCGTAACTGCCTCGAGGGTGCTTGACCAATTCAACACAACGTGGTGCGATCACCCCCTTTGCGCGGAGTGAGGGTTATCCACCCCGCACAACATAATCTAATTGACCACCATTCATGGTTACCGCACACAAAAAAAAAATGAATAAAAAAAAAGCGTTAACCTTGGTCGCCGAGCTCATGAAGTAAGTGATCCACTTGTTTTACAAAATCGCTGCCAAGCGACTAAAACCCAACCCCGATGGCAAACACTGGGGGGGGGGTGCACGTGTCGTTAATGCAGTAACACTAGAAATAGACAGCGAGTCGTGGTTGGGTCACGATGGGTGATGGCATTATCATGTCTCGGTCATGGTGCGCTCATCTTGACCCAGTCAGAAGACGATTGATTTCGACCGACTCGGTAAATGACACAATGATGGCTACATAGATACTGACCGGGTCTTGAGCACAGATACGGATTGGGTCTTCAGCATCTGGCGGAAAGTTCATCCGAAAGCGAGAATCAACCATGACCCGGTCATGACTCGGTTCGGTCATGACTGTCATGCCTCAGTCATGACCCGGAGGAACGGAGGAGAAGGAGGCACACACAGAGAGGGCCGTACTTCTGAGTGGAATGCGTGGTATGATGGTACAGAGCGGGGTGACAGCAGCAGGCGAGAGAGATAAAAGCGGAAGATAAAAAAAGTGGAAAGTCCACCAAAGTGCCAAATTTCCAGAGGAAGTGCTGCTCTGTGAGAGCCCGAGAAGACCGGAATAGAGCGCTCACAGAAGCCGAAAGAAGCGAAATGAAGCGTTGTCAGAGAAAACTTAAATTGTAAGAAGACTATATATATATGTATATTTGTTTTATATGGTATATATTTGGCGATGTCCGTCAGCCAATTAGTTACAGAATTTCCTTCGGCACGGCGAGGGGTTCGGCCCCGGAGACCGGTACTCTTCCACTCACTGACCCAGCTGGGATGGCTGAGAGCCAAGAGCGAGTATACTTCGAATACTATATTCGAGAAAGACGAACCATTACAAGACTTGCACAGACAGAGAAAACTACGGTAGACTATTCGAAAAGCTTTAACCATTAGGCCAATCAGCTGGCTTAGTGATCTAATGGTTTAGCCTCTCCATGTTTAAAAAAAGGATATGTCCGAGGGCTCTCCTCCCCCCAAGGGTTCGAATCAGGGCTGGATCACTACAGTAGAAGAAGCACCATTCACATTTACGTAAGCACTGTAATTACTAAGCGTGGCGACGGGCCCGTCCGCGGAGATCGCTGTCACAGATAGGAGGAGGAGAACCCTCCGACTTATCTTCAATTCGATCAAGACTGAATAATAATTTTCAGCGCACTCAAGTCAGTTTAACATCTATCGAATGACTCCCGTAAGTGGGGAAGATTGGTCCAACCCGACTACGGTAAACACATCGACATCATCTTCTTATCACTGTGTCAACATTCACGTTGAACATGCGATTATTTCTGTATTTTGCGTTTGTTTCGAGGAAATGCCGACACACTTCCACCGACGTCTGGCCGCCCGCCCCATTGGGGAGCGGGAGGCTACTTCCCCCTAGTCCGATTAGTTGTTCTGCCACCTACCGTAAATACCAGTCAGTACGAGAGAACACCGAGTACCGTAGGACTGAACAAGTAATGTTTGAGACCACCCACCCTCCCTGCTGCTATGTAACGCTTGTGGACCATCCACAGACTCATTGCCGCCCCAGTCGGTGCGGCAGTGCATCCATGGGACCGCCGGAAGCTTCCCAACAACGTCGACAATATTCCCACACTTGGCACACTCACTCTTTCAATGGTTGCTGTTGAGAAGCACGATTACTGTAGACCACCAGTCAGCGGCTGACTGGTCATCGTGCTTGTCAACAAAATTTAATGCCCGTGTCCGGCCTGGCTTTGCAGCCACGAACGCTTCCCCCCAGGGTTACCATCCCTGTGATTAGCGCTGTCTTGCCCGGAAATCGCTGGGTTCATCAGCTTGTTTTGCGAAGCCTATTTCCCCAGACTTTTTCTTGCTCATAAGTTCGGGCGCAAAGAAATTTATTCTCGAGAGGAGATTCGATTGTTGAGAAGCACGATGACCACTAGACCACTAGTCGGCGCTGACTCGTGGTCTAGTGGTGATCGTACTTCTCAACAGTTTTTTTTGTTTCGTGGAACATACGTACTATATCGTTGTACATAGTGCCCGAAACGTATGGCGAACGTATCGCGGACACGGCTTCAAAGCCTAGCTTGACCGCAATTCTGGCGGGAAGGAGGTGGCATGAAAAATTCGGCGCTCACCGCACGCCCACACTCTGCCCCAAGAGTAGAAAACCGCCGTTAGCTGCTACTGTAGACTGCCTGCTCTCCCGTGCCACGTTTGGGAAAATTCTTAGGATCCCTTTTTATCACGGCAAGGACGACGGATGATTATCGCAGCCAGACCCCTTGTGCGGGGTACACCATGGAAGCGTGGATTGGATTATCCTTCCCCGGTCCGACGTGATGTTGGGAGGGACTCGCCCACCTACATGGACCATGTCGATTGTTCATTCGAGTACCAGATTGCGATGCTCGTAACATCTTCCTTGTTGTTTCGCCCTTCCGATCTCTTGACCCTCGTGTCAAACCCGAACCACAAGGGTCCCTTTCAACTGTGGAACGTGGACGGATGTGGAGCACCAAGGATTTCTTCGCGGTCTCGAGGTGTACGGTTATGGAAACTGTGACGCAATCGGAATCTTTGTGCCCTCTCGCAGCCCGCTCCAGATCGAAGCCTACGCTCAGTGGTACTTTGCGGAGGGTGAAGCTGTCCGGCATCTTCACCAGGTAGGCCCGCAGGGAACGAGTGCTGCGTGTAGAGAACGGGCTCTCTTACATCAAGCACAGCTTCTTCTGTGCTTCGAAATAGGAGATTCTCCTGCGATCCTTGTGTAGCCATTGTTCCCTGCTTTCCGAACGTGGTGCTCCGCTACCCGGGTTCCGTTGAGAGTGTGTCGGTACAGAGCCCATGTCGAAATCTAGCCGTTGGTTGTCGCCGTTCCCTGTACTGGCCCCGACGACCGCCGCCGACTCGGGGTTTATTTCGTTCCCAAATGTTTTGTGGTGGACTTCGTTCTGGCGTCGGTTTCGACAATGGAAATCTGTGGGGGGGAAGAAGTTTTTTTTATGTCAAGGAGAAACAAATTGTCCATTTCGCATGGAAAACAGTCCTGCCGCTTCAGTACAGCTTTTGGTCGTTCGTTCTTCGAGGTTGGACACTTTCTGTGCTCAAGATCGTTAGGGTCAAAGTTATGGTTCACGATTTTATCGGTCCTAATAAGTGTAAGTGGCAGGGGCAACCACGTGTGTGTACGAACGCACACGCGAATGACGCAAGTCACCAACGCGACGGAACGGTGTTGTGTTGCGGGTCTCTTTGCCATACGCACGATCACAGCCCGCCGGTCGCGGTTCTTCGTCGAACCGGATGGTGAACGAAATTCCTTGCTGAGGTATTGCGGCTTGCCTGCTCTGCCGTCGTCGGCTTCTTTCGTTCGAGATAAAATCGGGGGCAGTTGGCAATCTCTTCAAACTTTTCATGCCTCATCTGCTGTTCCGGTCTACGGCTCTGCTCCACCCGTTTCACGCAGCCCCGCTTCTAGACCCCTGCTTACCACACCTTTATCGTTCGACAAACCCGCCCGGAAACCAGGGTATCCATGACAATTTGGGGGCCCCCTACTATCCCTCGCGTGGAGGTGGCGGGCCCGGCAGGGAGCCCAGTACCGGGTGCGGTGATGGAGGCGGCGGCGGCGGCGGCGGCTGTGGCGGCGGCGGCAGCAGCGGCGGCCGGAACGGTGCTGCTGCCCGGTGCCTCGGTGTTTTCGGCGAGTTGGCCGCCGCTCAAGAGCAGCCGGGGTCGCATCCGGCGTCGCAGCAGCAGCAGCAGCAGCGCACCGCTCATCGGCCGGGGATGCCCGCTGTCCCGAATCCACACCTAGGCCCCATTTTTTTCGGCAAACAAGCATGGGGGGAACACTTCAATCTCCACGACGCTTGTTTCGGCGTCCTGTAGCCTTGCTTCGTGCTGCCGCGCTTTGACACGGTGCTTGGCGCCGGTGTCGCGCCGACCTGATCGTCTAGCTGGCGGCACGATCGGGTCGATGCCGGCGAGGGGCGGGTGCCAAGAACAAGAAGAAATGCGAGAAACGCGCAAGGGCTAGAGGAACGAGGTTTGACGTGAGTTTCATCTTTGGGGCCAGTTTGTTGTAGATGCTGTTGGTTTCGTCGTTTTTGTGCCCTTTTCAGTTGAGGCGAAGGCTCCATGCCAATAGTACACCCTCGTTGGGCTTTGTATTCCGCTAAGGCGCGCTCTTTTTTCTTATCAAAGAAGGTCGGACGATTGTGGCATGTTGCAGAAGAGTCTTCCGGTACGATTGCTGCGTGCAGTTTTGGTGCAATGGAGGTGGTTCAGAGGAAGACGTTTTGCCAGTGTGCGTGTTGCGAAAACCGTGGGCAGAGAGAGGTGTTCTTAATGTTCATCCCTCCAAAATGGTTTTTGTTTTTGCGTTAGATAGAAATTTGTTTAATTCAGCCGTTCATGCAAGGGCGATAATGTGGCATAATTTTTGGCAACATCTTGCGTGGTAGATGGTCATTATTTTTGGCAACAACCGAATCCCCTTTCAAAAAAGTCGTGCAAAAGAATGTTGGGTCCGTGAGTTCACAACGACGTTATCTTGTTGCAATGTGTTTTGTTTTTAACAATTTGAAGCAAGGCTTCAATTTCAGTTGTCGCCGCTTGATACTGGTTGCTCTTGCTTGCGCTAGTTGCTGTGATTCAGAAATCACCCCTGTTTCGTCTTCAATGTTTTATACGTCAGCGTTGTAAACGCCTTCGATCACTGTATCACCATGTACGCGTGAGTGTGTGTGTGCTTGCGAATTTCGTTGGCGATAGTCGTTGCTAGAAAGAGCGGCAAAGAACAGGGATAACCTTCGTTCGTGCAGCGTTAACACGGTGTTGCAACGCTGTATAGGGGAGCAGTGCTTCGTGGAATGCGTGATTCGAAGCATGTATGGACGCCCAGCGCCGGATGCTTCTCCCAGACATCCGTGACATCGCGGTGACAACGCGACGTCTAGTGTAAGCCACTGCTTTTGTAGAGGGGAAAGGAAGGTGGGCGGGTGGGGTACGTGTTGTTCGTGCTGCTCAAGGGAGTACTCCATCACCTTTTGGTGATTTGGCTGAACGACAATAAAGTCTAGAGGTGCATTACACCGCTGCTGTTTTGCGTAGATGGATGTGTGTATGTTGGAGTGCTTCCTTGCGTCTTGCGCCGCGATACCGATGAATATCTAGGCTGACCAGCCAGCGGAGGGCAGTCTTGCATGAAAGATATATCTCATGCTTCTGGTGCCCCCTTGTGCTGGCGGCTGGGGGAGAGGGGAGGGGAGGGGAGGGGAGGGGTGGGAAGAGGAGACGAGAGGTGAAAGGAGAAGGGAATGGAGTTGTGTTCAATCTATACGTGTGTCAAGTTCCTCGGTCGAGAGTGCAGACTGCATGAGCAATAATCTAAGCGAAAAGGGGGGTTAGGCGGGAGAGGGGGCTGTGGGTTGCGGTGGGAGACAAGCGTTAAGAGAGATATTGAGTCACAGGACGCCGACGGGATTCTCCCGACGTTGTGGATTGTTTCTCTTTCCGTGGCCTAGTCATGCCCAGCGAACACAACACCGCGGTGTTGATTCGTTTCCCAAAAAATTCAAAAATCCCTTGATACGGAATTTGTCGAACAACATGATTTTCCTTCACGGTAATGCGCGATAAATACCTGGATGCAGGCAGACTCGAGTCTCCTGTAGACTCATGAGCGGATACCAGATCCACAGTAGTGTGCATGGCAGCGACAACTCCACGAATGGATTCACACCGGCTCTGCCATGCCATCAACACTCTTCATTATCTTCTTGAATTGCGTGTCCTATCATTTGCCGTTCACCCCATGGCGTCTACTACTGTAGATGGGACCTTGAAAACTGGTTTGCGGACAGGTTGGCATTTCGACATTCGCGGCGAGTGGTGCGTGTCGCTCGCGTTTCGTGCCCACAATATTATTCCGCAAAGGACAAGTGTGAGTAACGCGACGGCAGCCATGCATCGGAGAGGAATAGTTTTTGTGTGCCCCCCGGATGGAATACACTCATCATGTAGAGAGGCAAACGCCTCGGTGATCGAGAGTCCCGACATAGGCTGTCGATGCACAATCGGCCACGGGGGGTATTATGTAAGGCAGCAGCATTTTGTTTGTTCTCGCCGCGGCTGTTGTCCCTAGGGCAGGAACTGAAAGGGTGAGCGAAAATAACTCAAGATACGGTACAGTCAATGTTCATTGCTGACGCTATAATAGGTCGTCTTATCAACGGAAAAGTTCCGCGCTCTCGTACGGTGCACATGCAGGCCCCGCACCATGTGTCTTGGCGTTCTGTCACGCAATCCGTGACAATTTTTCCACCCGATGGTGGCGAGTGAGGGCACGACATCGGAGCAGGGACTCAGAACGCACCCGCACTTTAGAACGTGGCAGTTAGTCTAAGAATGACTAGCCAAAAAAAAAGTCTCAAAACCTTAAGAACGTGAGCACCATTTGCGAGCTACCTACAATTACACAGCAGAGCCACAGCCTCGGCGACAACCAGAGATTCTCTCAAGTGCGGGCGTTCTGGGGAGGCGGAGCACATGCGTGTTTGCTTCGTACGCTGCATCTGCAGAACGGGCCCGGAGATAAAAAATGTCAAAATCGGGTCGAGCCTCAATTTCTTGTTTTGGGCAGAAGGATCAGCCGAAGTCGGCCCAATTTCTTAAAACGGATTTATTTTTCCTTTGGGCTGTCGCATCCTGCTGATCCTCTTATTTTCTTATTTTCTTATCTCTGGCGAAGAAAACAACACACCAGTACAGCAGCAGTGGCTGGTGGGAAAAGCGCAGACCGCGGCGGCACTGGGGCGCGGGGGGCGCCGCGAAAATAACCTCCCCCGCCCTACGAATAAATATCACATGAGCTAGGTAGGGGATGGGAGCATGGCAGCAGCAGCATCAGTGGGACGTTTCTTATTGGACAAGCTCCCCCAGCAACCCCTTGTTCCTTATATCTGGGTGGGGTATCGCACGATCATGTTTATTTTTGGGACGTTTCTTGTGTTGTGGCCGAGATTGAGCTGAGTTTCTTAGCCCTGTTTTCTTAGTTTTCGTGAAAAGTTGAACCTCTTATTATTAACATTATTTTTCTTAAATTGCGGGCCGGTTCTGTATGCCGGGTCCTGCCGTTGTCCGGACGCCTTAGTCTGTTCCAGGATGATCGATACCGATACTGTTGAGCCTCCCAAGATCAATGCCGGGTGTCCTATAAGTTCGGCAACGAACACCACATTTGTTTGGTTTGGTCTAACGTCGATCGACGTAGTGCAATGGAGCTCAATGTATGTATCAATCAATCAATCTGCATCGGAAATCTCGTTGTTTGCCTATCACGAATCGGAGCACCTGTAATAGAGATATCTTGGACTAAGGTGCTCTATATTATCGCGAGGTTCTCTAACATCCATGAACAATGTGTACCGACAACGTCATTTGATGGTGTCTTCGATGCCATCGTAAACGATTTCAATCAGAACCATTCTCAAGCTGACGTCCACACACCGACCACAACACCGAACGAACGGATGGGTGTGTTTTTTCTGTGGGGTGCAATCGAAGTAATAACACAGTCATGTCTTTGCTATTTCGTAAGGAGGCAACGAGGACAGCTTGGATAAATAAGCCTTCTACAGGAAGTTCTCTCCGCGTGAGAAGCAGCCCTTGCTCCTAGCCTGTGAACTGACCAGATTCAACAGCCACCTAGGTCTTAACAAGAACCAAAAGAATGGGTCAAAACTACCGAGGGCCTAGTGTACACCCACTAGGAGAATGTACCACAATCTACGTGAGGTGCTTGATCTCGTCGAGGTCTTCTCCGTGGGACATGTCTTTGTTCTTGCTGACCTTCCGCTTCTGAAGGCGGCTTCGGAACATCACTGGCCGACCAACTTTCTTGCGCGGAGCTTGCAAGGACCGTTCGATGGCCTTGCGATTGCGTTCCTCCTGTAAGAGAAAGAGAAACACATGGGGGGGGTTGAAATCACAACGGGTGCGGAGCTGTTCTCTTCTTGCGTTACACACATGTAGTTTGTGCGCATTTTGAACCACACTAAACGCTGGGTCTTGAGTTTAGTTCTTCTCACAGAGTTATGATTCAGTTTCCATGAACTGAGAACGGCGAAAAGGGAATGCTCAACTACTTGTAGCGAGCAGCTCTTCGTGAAGGTTATTTTGACATGCAGCCTAGGCTAGACCCCGAGGCACAAGCAGCGCAAACTTGGAGGAACTTGGCCAGACGCGCTCACCTGCATGCGCTCTTGCAGAGCCTGCTGCTCCGCCCGCTTCTTCTCTCTCCTCTTCTTCTCCTTTTCCTGAAAACAACACCCATCCGCAAGAAAGCGCCGGGAGGGTGGGGCTAGGTGGAGCGATGGTCTCCGGTGGCCGTGCCACATGCAGTCGGACGCAGTCCGACGAAGTTTCAGAGCTAACCGTACAGTATCGTGCGTATTGCTTCGGACGACATGAACATCGTGCACTCGCGTTTGTCGGGTGGACGCGGTATGCAGCACAATATGCCAGAGGTGGATGAGTGTGGAGTTTCCACCCCTGAATGATCGTAACAGGGCAAGCCCCCAACGGTTCCCTCCAAACGGCCATCCGTATATTCTTCTACTCCGCCCAGCTATTGCTGAAGGTCTCGCACGGTGATTACTTGCCGCCTACCGCGACCCTGGGGGCCTGGGAAGCCCGGCATACATCACCGTTGACGGGCACGCGGCGTCCAGACAACCGCTCATGACACACATTCAAGAACGAGAACTTCGATGCGCTGGCCTTGAAAAAAAGCGTCAGCTTCTCGGAGAAGGTGCACCCATCGAGAGTACCTTCGACGATCCTGAAACGGCATGTATGCCCCATTTTTCTCGAGGTACTTGCCTTCTCGGCCTTGGCGACGTACTCCTCTGGCATCTGTCCGATATCGCTCAGCAGGTCTTCCAGGCGGGCCTCCAGGTCGCTCAGCATGTACAGGGTAGTCGGGCTCGACGACGCGTCGAAACCGCAACGCTCATACACATGCTTGACCTGTGAGCGGAGGAGGTTCGTCACCAGCGGGATACAGAAAACGTGTGACGGGCAAACTAGAAGTCAGAACAGGAAAGTTGGACGGTTTCAGCAAGTCGTTCAATCGGACGTTTAGAATGTTCGTTCTGCCACTTCCTACCACGAGGCGGAAGTGTCTCGTTTTTGGTCGACGCTACCGGGTGACTTCCTCGGTATTTCGGGACGAAAGAGCGATAGGCCTTTAGTGGCGCGAGCTATTTCCTCTTTCAACTGTCTCACTCTGTTCCCAACGAGCTGTTGAAGCAGGAACAACAAGCCGAACTTTGCGTGCTTTATCTTGTCGGATCCAATTGAAGTTATTCTCCAGAGCCACGTTCTGATTCCGACAAAGCTGCCTCGACTCCTACAACTCCTCAGAGGCCTTGGGACGACAACGAAAACACGTCGTCCTCAACATCGACAATCCACAACGACCACAGCAGCACCTCCTTGTTGAGCTGCTTGAGGAGCTCCTCCTGACGGTCCAGCGTGTCCCCGGTGCTGGCGGCGATCCTTTTCCTCAGCTGCTCCGCCTTAGCTTCCTCCACATCGATGCTATCTACCAGCTCCCGGATGTTTGATCGTAGGGCCTGAAATACCCCCACCCATCAGAACGTGCATGCAATTCTCTTCAACTCTCGTCCTGAATGTGTCGAAAAGGCATTCCGTGTGTCATTGTAAGGCGCAATATTTTCACGACGGGACTGGGTAGGGAGAGAAGCAGAGGGGGAACGGTACCGTGAGGTTGGACATTTTTTCGTTACAAAAGATACAAGAGAGTGAATGGGACCGTGTGGGAGCACCCCGAAAATTGCAAAAATTTTCAAGCGCATGTCCCGTCTGGGCAGGACGTCTTTTTCTTCATGGCTGGGCGGAAGGCATGACGTAAGATCAACCCACACCCTCGGCCCCTCCTCCTGATTCCTACTGGCTTCTGGGCACAACGTGCCTCACAACCTGTCGCGCTCAAGGCAATACAAAATACGAAGTAACTTGGTAACAGCTTGTGTGCCTCTGCTGTACCACGTACGTATCGCGCGTTGCAACCCACCTGTGTCTTGGTGTCCATCGTCTTCTGCACCTTGCCAAAGTTCTGCTTGAGCTCGTCCAGCGCGTGCTCCGTCTCCTGGGAGTTCTGGATAAAGAACAGGTTCTGCTCCTCTAATGCCTGCCCGTGACGTCGAGGGGGCAGGTGGGGCGCGGGGGGTGGAGGGAGAAAACAGCGTTTTTACTCGTTGGAACTTTCCTTGCACCGCGAAATGTATGCAAGATCGGCATCACCACTCACGAAGGAGGCCCCCCCCGTCACACACGCACACACCTGAAATATGTCGAGTAGCTGTTCTTGCTTCGTGAAGAACATCGGGATGTCCTCCTCGCTCGAGGTGAGGGGTTCCTGGTCCAGCTTCGGCGGGGGAGGGAGGTCCGGCTGCCTCGCCTTCTTCTCGCTCTTTTTCTTGACTCGTCCCTACCCGACAGCAGGAAACATTTGCGGAGGAGACAGTCGAGGTGAAAAAATGTATATATGTTGTTGCAACTAAACCTATGGCGAAAGGTATTGAGTTAGACCTCCTAAGGGCACTTCAGACCCCTCTCAAACACGCAGCCCGGAACGGTATACCATGGCATGCGTTTTCTTCAGGGTGCAGGATCGCAGTAACCGATGGAATCACCGTGCGAGCAACGACAACCTGAAAACAACTTAGCATCGGCGGGCAGCATACGGTATACCACGCCCACTGCACCTGCTTCGCCAGCGCCTCATCTCTCCTTCGTTCTTCCTCCACGAACTCTGCAAGCACCTTCTTCTTCGCCTCCTTCACGTGTGTGTGTGTGTTGTGTATGTAGAGGGAGGCGGCGAAGAAAAAGAGAGCCCCACCCGACCACGTCGTGTCAAGTATCGTTTGTTTTTGTAGTGCGAAACCTCGCAGCGCTTCTCGCTTAGCTTTGCTCCGTGCTGATCACACGGGTGCTGCTTGGCAGCGGGAGAGGTGAGCTTCTCACAAACTGCATTCTTTATCAGCCCCATCGAGCAGACAAATATCGAATGTTCGTTTATGGGACTTCGGTACCGAAACTTTCTTGCTGGCCTGGGTTCGAATGTGAACGAATGAAACGGCTGTTCAGTATCGAGATGAAACTCTGCGTTACGGACGGCAAAAAATCGAGCGCTAGCTAGCGCTGCAGTCACACATTGTATGCGGCGTTTACGACACACCTCACGCATGCATACCTCGTACGACTTCTTCTTCTGCTTGATCCGAGCCTGCCTTCGCTGTTGCTGCCTGTCGCACTTGATCTGATTTTGCTCCTCGAACCACTCTGGAGGAACCAGACTGTCCAGGAACTCTTTATACCTTGTGGATTCGGGGCACCCCGCCGGAGAAGGGAACGGGCGAACGATTGTGCTTGACATTTCCACGAGGTTGTTTTCTGTGTGCTGCCAACGCACAATAAGAATCGCACCGACCACGACGACCTCAGCACAATGGCAACGACAAAACCACCACCACCACCGCCACCACCACAATGTCAACAACATTAACAACAGCAACAACACGAAGTCCAGCAGCAACACCTACACTGGCATTCTTGGGGCCGCGCCTGGCGTAGGCAAGACTGCCTGTCAAGACGTCTAACCTGAGGCAGTCCTCCAGGGCTTCTCGGTGCTTGCTCATGTCGCTCTGCACCATCTGAATCTGCTGGTTGAGTTTCTTAATCTCTTGGGCCTTGTCTGTTTTTAACTTACGATGTTGGCACACGCGTTCAGAAAGCAGCATGGGTGCCATTTGATCGCATTCGGAAGATGGTGCAGGAAGCCTTTGCTTTGCGGGTTGTTCAGATTAGAGGACGGCCAGGCCAACGCCAGCACCTACACATCAGCGTCAAAGAAGGGGTCATCGAGAAACGGAAAGACTACAAAAAGTGAAAGCCCGCTGGAGCGTCCCCGCAGCGAAAACAAAATAAATCGAGAATAGGGTCGGAAATATCCAGCCGCCTGCTGAAGACATGACGAGTACACTGCAATTGTGAGACGTGTACTGTCGTCTCTACCGAATCACCGCGACAAGTGGTGAACGAGTTGCCTCTTTTCGAGATGTAGCCATGCATTAATCTGCAATAACCTTGAAATAAACGACAAATTATGATGAATATTCGTCGTGTCTGGGTTGTACGCCGATGAAGTGCGCCAGACCATGACGGTGATGGAATCTGCACCGCCGAGACGCGAATGTTTGCCAATGGATGACGGAGCGTCTTTGTGCGAAGGACACAGAGAGTAGACAAGGGGCGCGTCCTCCTAGTGTGTACCTTCGTCTCTCGCTCGGCTTTCTTGATTGCCTCATGCGCCTTCTTGTCGTTCTCTTTGAGAAACGTGTCGAAGCGAATCGCATCTTCCTCCAACATCTGTGACGAAAAATAATCCGTACACCATCAAGAGAGGTCAGGTTTTGAGTTGAAGTGTAGTCAAGATATTCAGCGGGTTCACACACGACGGAGATTATGAGAGCAATAAACGAATGAGACGGTTCAGCAAACTTGGCGATGATTGCGAACATCCGATACTTGCTAGGCAGCGACAAATAGCAGGTACACAGTGACAACTATGTCAAAGTGAGTGTATCAAACGGAGCGGATCGCTCTCTCGCCTGCTCGCTCTTCCTCAAAGCCTCCTCCTTCATCCTGGCCTTCTCTTCTAGCTTCCGTATCTCCTCGCGCTTTGTGTCCAGGCTCATCTGAACGAGGAACATCTCTCGCTTTTTCGAAATGAACTCCGCCATGCTTTCCTTCTCTTGCTGCCGATCGTTGGTGATCATTGTGGCCGCCTGATATGTTTTCGTGTGTACCACGCATTCAGTGATAAGCAGGAGAAACAGGAAGTCGTCTGAGGTGCAGTCGGCCGGCTCAGTCTATCGTGTTTACTCGTACACACAGTACTAGCAATCTCTGCCTTCTACCAGGCCCAGAAGACACTGGTGGGTGATCGTGCTTACAACGTCACTACGCAATGGCGGCAGCCGGTAGACAAAGTGAAACAAGAGACGAGGGGTTGAGAGTATTGTCGGACTGATTTACATATTCGAGAACGATCTGTTCCTGTTCGACACGCCATGATGTCACCCTCCAGCCGGCCAGCATGTAAGAGTACAGTACATCACCGTCGCACCCACCTGGTGCATCATCTCGGCGTTGGCGAGCGCTCGCTTTCCGGGAGTGCTATCCTCTCCGCCTACTATGGCCGCCCCGGTATTTTTCAACAGGTCGCCAATCTTCGCCGAGCGCCCCGATACGGCGCTCTTGGTCGTCTTTTGCCATACCTGGCGGAATACAACACGATAAAAGTACATTCGATCATCTTAGACAACGAAGAAGTAAGACGAGGATTCACGCTTCTTGCCGTAAAAAAAGAATGGTTCCATACAGGGAAGAAACATGTAACGGGTTATCTTCGGGTTTCTACGAGAGACGCCTTTAGATGTTTACTCAACAAACGGAAAGTCTCCATATTCAAGCGCGGGTCACAAAAACCGCTTGCAGACGACTAAAAAGTATGCAGCCCGCACAGCAATTCTGTGCGCAATGCCACGCTCGTTGAAAAATAAACCCGCTGAAGCAACGCGGATGAAAGGCGCATTCTAACCACGCGCGCATTGCCTGACACGCCGGCTGCTGAAACACAGCCCACAACTCCCTCTTTCCTCATATAGTCTGGCCAATGCAAGCGTCATATTACCTCCAGGATGCACAAAGTTTAAGATGAGACCCGGCAAACACCACACGGCAGGCAAGGTTCCCACCTTTTGCCCTCTCCGTGCGACTCGCTCCTTTGCTTTTCTAGACTTCTCTTCCTGTCGCATGCGAAACACTTCCTCATCGGCGGGCAAGATGAACGGGTTGCGATCCGCCGAGCTCGACCCAGCCAAGGCTTCATCCTGGGGATGTCCGACCGTTCCACAGGCAAAGCTTCAGAAATCACACCAACATATTTGTGGTGGTTATGTACATAACGAGTTTGGAGGAAACCCCACTGCAACAACACGTGCCTCGAACGGAGACTAGAACGACAGGTCGACCTGAGAGCAAATATTTTGGACAGTTTTTTTCCTCCCCGTTTTTTTCCAAGTCATGCCAACCCCCCACATGGACATTGATTTACGGCGCGCTTCCTCACTCCAGTCAAAAGTACGCTACATAGTCCAGGTTCAACTTGTATATCTAACTCATTGTACATTAGAGTCGATGAAGTCAGTCGAAACTCTGCCACAGTATCACTATCTTGTGCGCCACAAACGAAGGTGCGTAAATGTGACACGAGACGCTTGAGGGCATTCGAAAAGACAGAAACGCCAAGATCTATTGCTACAGCCGTTGGGGCAAGTGAAAGCGTTTACGCACATGACTCGACATGACTCGCGTGAAACAAGGCCGAAAACTGCACTGTTTGTGCGACATGAACACTCTACCCATGTTTACTCGTCTTTACCGGGAAAAGCTTTCAGGTAGCATATGCCTATACAACATACGAGCTCTTCTTGCAGTCAACCACAGAAGAAACGAGTGTTCGGAATGAAGCAGTCAAAACATGTGAGGGGCGTGCGGTGGCTTGCGGAGGAGTGTACAAAATATCTTCTTCTTTCAAACCCTTACATGCAACAGAATCCTTAAATATCAAACGGCCAACTCATACCGTGGCAGCCTTGTGGAAGTCTAGGGATCGCTCCGTGTCGAGCACTTACTTTCGAACACAGCACACTGGAGTACAAGCACCGAGCTGAGTGGTATCAACAGTACTGTCCTGTAGTCCTCACAAATCGCAAACTGCTTTGATATAAGGAAAACAATCTGGGCAATTCGTACATAACCCACATGTGACTCGTCCATCCTCGTGGGAGCTGCGTGTGCTGTCCTGCGTTGCCTCACGACAGAAGACATTACAGACCCTCTACCTTGCCTCTACAGCAGTAAGCCCGTAACCAAGATCAAATTGGCTGTGTCCAACAACCCTCGGCCGGCGGGATCTGATTGTACCAGTGCTCGCTGATGATGCGTAGTGCGTGTGTTTACAACAAACCGCAGTTACCCCGGTTTCCCGAGCCACCCCCAAAAAGGGAGATGCTGACGCGAACAGGTCCTCGTCGTGGACGGCGGCGTCCCGAAGTTACCGATACAAAGGTAGAAGGAACCAACGGTTTCGTCCGGCCGCTGTACATTTCCGAACTCCGCGGGGCCCCGTGTATCGTACAGCCGGGTATGTGGGGGCGACAGATGGGATATGAGGCACTCGAGCGCGAGCATCTGCTGCTATAGCACCGGACCGCCCACCGCCCGCGGGAGAGAGCACAAACACTCTAGGAGAGAGGGACGGGCAGAAGCATGTTCGTGAAAAAAGATACCAGGAAAATCCCAGACATCCTTGCTGATGAGGGCGACGAAAGGGAAGAGCTGCACCTGGGTCGAAGGTGAGAGCGCCCACAGGATCAATTTTTCAAATTCAAACTTTTGGCAACCCAGAGGATGCGGCCAAGGGTCCAGACCCAGACCGAGAGATACAGGCAGACTCGTCTATCACATCCACTGCGTACTACCTGCACGAGCAGAGGGGCTTGACCGATTGTCTTATCTACGGTCCGATGTCTGATGTGCATGGGGACGTTGGTGGAAGCGGGTGCGTGGTTGACACAGGATACCACCCCCCCCCGGACCGATTTGCAAGCTCGATTGCTCCACAGCAGAATAAAGAGTGGCGATGCGGAAAATGGCAGGGTTGGAATCGTTTCGTCGCGTTCTTCCCGAAAACATAGCATTTGATTGTGGCGTCCTCTCCGTCCTGTGGAGTAGTCGAGGTTTGAAATTCGGTGCAGGGGGTGTGGTATCTTGTGTCACCTCCGTAGACTGCCAGTGAGTGCGGGTGCCTACTGCCATCCGAAACGATAGCAGCACGCCATCGAACCAGTACATTGTACAAGGCCCCCCTTCGGGAGTTAGGTGGCTTTCCTCCCGGGGGCGACGCAAGAGGGCATAGCCAACATCATCGCGGTCGCATCGTCGCATCTCAACACCGTAGCGTTCGTTCGGTAGTGCCGGTTTCGCGTGCAACCTGCAGAATTTGCCTGGGATTTCCATGATGTGCGAGGTGTTTTTTCCTCGCCGTGACTTTTCGGGTGTTCTTGAGTGTGTGCATTTCGGCTAGTGGCGTCTTTGCTACAGGTCCTACTGCTGTAATCCGCTGCGTTTGATCCGGTCACCCTTATGCACTCTTGTTGCCCATGCTCTGAGGGACTTGTCTGCGTTGCGCAGGAAGCAAAAAAGTCTTACTGTTTCTGGAACGCAGTTTTTTTTTGAATTTCTTGCGAAGGCTTTCTTCGCGCGGAATGTGTCCCCGGGTGTAGAGGCAGTTTCTTTAACTTTGGGCTTCGGGCACACGCGCCATGGGTGGCTGGGGGTCCTCGGGCGTGCGTAGCACTGTACCGACGACCCCCCTGCGTGCCCCTGAGAAGGAAGCGTGAGAAAAGACTCGCTTCCGCCAGTGAAATACTTCGAAGTATGTCCCGAAGACGAACACAGGCGAAATGGCACATACACATATTCTGCGTTATACGGGGCACTTTGCTTGCATGGGTGTCGTGCATGTGCGGGGAAAAGTGTTGTCGTACCTGACTATTGTTTCGATCCGGCACGCGAATTCATCACGCGGTCGATCCCAAATGCTCTTTCTGTGTGCGCAGGTCGTCCGAGTTCGTGTCCAACGGCATCAAGGTGGTTTGCAGCAGCAGGCACATACCCCGACTCCAAAAGCTCCAGAAATTATCGCTCTACGACAACATGCTCAGCCACGTAAAAGTAAGCTCGTATGACACATGTATGTGTGCATTCTCGTGCATCTTACATCCGTACCGTTGCGATACAAGTCTATCGCTTGTACGGACTTTGGACTATCACACGAAGGGCTTCATCTTTCCTATGTGCTCTGGCAGTTCGACCATCAGTAGGCCATGTGTGTTTCTCGATCGCGACGTACCGCTTCTGCTTGGCCAATCTCATTGAACAAGACGGCTTCAACTTGTTTTTGCGGTACGGTGTACCAGGTGCCTGATACGAAGCGACCAAAGTTCTGCCTCTCCGCTTGATTTGCCCCCGCGAACCACCAGTTTCTTGAAGAGGTCTTGTCTACACATCCGGCAAAAGTGTTTGGTGTTGCGCGTGGGCTTCATGATGTTATTGCAGGTTTGGTCGCACCATTCTTGCGTAATCGGGCGTTTTTGCACCCCTCCTGCCGACCACGCAGGGTATCGGAGCTCTGTCGGCAACACCACTTAAACACCTCAACTTAGGGCGAAACCAGCTCAAGTCTCTGCCCCCGGAGCTAGGCAAGGTATATACCCAGGCACACCCGGCGAACACCCGTATGTGATGGTTCTTCGACGTACGTTGCACACTGGCGCACTCACGGCTGAGTGCTACCACCTGTTGCTGTTTTTTTTGCACAGAACATGAAACAGCTGGCGCTTGTTGTTCTCCTTGAAGTCACCAATGACCCGTGGATGATTTTATGTTTTTGCTTGCTGCGTCCTGGATACGATTTGCGATGTCAAAGGCTAAGTCGTTCAGGGTCTATCTGCGAGTCGAACATAACCGAGGAAGGGATGAAAGAATCGCCCCGGTACCATTGGTGGGTGCTTCGTTGCCCGATGTTTTTACATAGACCAACATGTGTTGCTGAGCCCTGAAACCGCCGCCGCTACTGGGGGCGTCACCAAAACAGGTGGGGACGCTGGAGACCCTGTGGGTGGACGATAACGCTATCACGGACTTTCCGCGTTCGGTGTTACAGCTGAAGTGAGTGGAGTATCGCCGCTCCCCCGCCTGGCCTCCGAACAATTGTTCGTGGTTCCTGACCGGCGTTTGAAACCGAACCGGCTCACGAGGCCCAACTAAGTGCAAGCGATACCCAAGTGCCTGTGTCGGCGGCAGTTCATACCATGTTGCAACTGTACAGGAAAAAATACCATTCACGAGTGGCGGCGAGCACGAGAAACCCGCGTGCTGCCTGTGGCACGTTGTCGCGACTGTGGCACGTTATCGTGACTATATCTAGGAACTGCAGCCCATTTTTCGTCACGGTTCCTTCTCTGCAGTCTGTTATGGGGTTTGAAGGCGAGTTTTTTGTCTGGTGCCAACTATGTCGCATTCGGCGAGAATGGAAACACGGAGTTCTTGACGCTTGGACGGCCCGATAGACCGGGGTACGCCCAGAGTTGGTGTTGGTGTTGGTGTTGGTGTTGGCGGTGATGGTGCTGAAGTTTTCTCGTTTCTGCTGTCTTGGCGCAAACGCGGAAGAACTCGCCCAAGTGGCGGACACTGCTCCAAACGTCTGAAGTACACCAGACGCAGGGAGAGACAAAACAACCGGCTTGTGGACCCGGAGGGTGTGAGTGCTTTCGTTCTCACGCCTTGTGTAGACAATACTTCACCGACGCTGGATTGCTCCACGACCAAAGGTGGTGCGAAAACTGCCGAAAACGGTGGATGTGGAAGTATGCCTCGTCCGGAACTTTCCTTTCACGTATGGGTCATAATCGAGCTTTGAGCGACGGTCTACCTAGAGGGGGGTTGCAATAGCGCGCTTGTATCCTCGATTTGTTTCTCCCCTCCAGGTTCGTTGCAACCGATAGCCATCCAACACTCATCAGTTTAGCTTCTCTAGGTGTTTTGCACTCATCACTTCGGCTTCTCTTTCGCGTGCGCTGCGCCAAACGGGTCTCTCGCTGTTCAGGCGCTTGCAAGAGCTTCGGCTGAGCGGCAACCGAATATCGGAGGTGAGCAGGGGAACGCCATGTCGTCGTCTGAGAGACTGAATCTGTGTACCTAGTCAACGTTGTTTGGTAGCACTCTTAGTGCGGGGAAATATCCACAAGTGTGCCTGATGTTGATCCATGGGAGCTGTGAGTGGAACCAGATACCCCGGCGGAGTGCTTTGCTTGTGACAGACCGTGGAGTTTGATCGGGAAGCGCTGCCCTCATACTCCCTCCCAGCCCAGTCGATGCCTCAACTCCCGACCCATGGGAAGCTCCCGCCTCCCTCACTCTTCTCTTCCCTGCCACTTGATTGTAAAGCTCGATCTGCTAGTTGTTGTCCCAAATCACTCACTCTTTCGGCTGCCACTTCTTTTTCCAGGAGTAATTCAAGGCGGATTTCTGGTGGCAGCATCATGGATAGTCCCTCTCTACTTGTAACCCGTTGGAGCTTGCTAATTTTCGGCGTCTCTCGAGTCCGACGGTGTCGTGCGTGCTGGGACTAATCCCTTCGAATACATTGTCCTGTTACTTGAACCTTTCACATAGTATTCTGCACGTTTTCTGCGGTCCGATGAATTCCTGCTGGGTACGTGATCAGCTCCTTGGCAGCACATCCTCACATCCCACTATTGTCAGAGATGCCCCATCTACAGTACCCTCGATCGCGCGGCAGTTGTCCGTCGGGTCACTCCCTGGAAATCGAAGATGCGTTCACTAGCTTAGCCTGCTCGGCGGGAATGCATTTCTCTTCCTATTCTCGCTTTCTTGTGGGCAATCCGATGAACAGGAACGTGTTTTTTCCCGCCTGGTACAACAGCGTAGTGCGGACTACGGGGGGGGGGTACGCTGGACAGCAGGAGGTGCAACCGCCTTTGTTTCTGCCTACACAACCGACAAACAGAAAGGACGTGCAGAGTGTCCAGTAACCACTCGACTCACCTTCTGCGACTGATACTCGATCAGGTGCCGGAAGAAATCGCGGCTCTTTCGGAGCTGCGGGTGCTGGCTCTGGACAACAACGAGGTCAAGACGGTACCAAAATCCATCGGAAAGCTTTCGCACCTACAGTCTCTTTTGCTTAGGTG